TGCTACTACTGGGGGTGCTGAGCCTGGGGGTGCTACTACTGGGGGTGCTGAGCCTGGGGGTGCTGAGCCTGGGAGTGCTACGCCTGGGGGTGCTACGCCTGGAGGTGCTGAGCCTGGGGGTGCGGAGCCTGAGGGAGCTGGGCCTGCTCGTGTGGCGTCTGGCGGTGCTGAGCCTGGAGGTTCTCCGGGTGCTTCGTCTCGGCGGGAGCCACTCTCTCCACAGGAGCTGCGCGAGTGGTTTGCCCGGCGCTGGAGGCGTGCTGCTGGAGCTGGAGGTTCTTCGGCTGCTGAGGGTGCTGGTGCCGCGGGTCCCGGAGGTGCTCGTACTGGGAGTACTGGAGCTGCTGGGCCTGCGGGTACGACTGGAGCTGGAGCTGCTGAGGGTGTTGGCGCTGAGGCTACTGCTGTCGGTCCTGGAGGCGGTCCTGCTGGGGGTGCTACTGGTGCTGCTGGAGGTACTGGAGCTGGAGGTGCTGCTGGCGCTGGTGCTGCCGCTGGGGGTACTGGTGCTGTCCCTGCTGTGTCTGGAGTCGCCGCGCGGCCTCGGCCGTACTTCGTTCCGCTCCTTCAGCAGGTTCTTGGTCTCCCGCCTTCTACTGGTCCTCCTCCTCCCTTAGCGTGTCCACAGCCTGTCCCGTCACAGTTACAGTTACAGCCGGCCTCCCCACTGCCCGCTCCTTCTCCCTACACTGGTCCTACTGGAGGTCTTGCTGAGCGTCGTGAGCCTGCGTCTCGCCCTGCGTCGCCTGTCCGTGCTGCTCGCACTAGTGCTCGTGGTTCGCGTCAGCGTCCTCCTCCTGTCCCTGGCACGCACCGGATGTCTCTACGTCCGTCCACTGCTCCTCTGCGTGCCCCTTTGCCTTCTCCTCCTGAGTCCTCTCTTCCTGCTCTTCCTGACCCGGAGTCGGACTCTCTTCGTGCTGCCAGTCCTACTGTCACGCGTCTCCTTGCTACTGTTGTCACTGACCCTTCCTTTGAGTCCACTGCTGCGTCTGCCCTAGTTACTGAGCTCGTCAACTTTGCTGCTCGCTGTCGTCTAGACTACGCTGCTAGTCTTGTTGCTGAGTCTGAGTCTGTCTGTCCTCCGTCCGTCGGGGGTGAGTGTGCCCTTGGCACGGACGTCCTTGAGGACAGGCAGGAGGAGTTCCAGTGTTTGGCTGCTGCTTCACCTCATCTCGTGTCCGTACTGCTTACCCCTGAGGGAGACCCGGATGCACTTGACATCCCGACTCCGCGCTCTTACGCGGAGGCGATAGAGGGTCCCTACTCCTCTCAGTGGCAGGCAGCTATGGACGTAGAGATGGCTTCCTGGAAGTCCACAGGCACCTACGTTGACGAGGTTCCCCCGCCTGGGGCGAACATCGTCAGTGGCATGTGGATTTTCAGGGTGAAGCGGCCGCCGGGTTCTCCGCCTGTCTTCAAGGCGCGTTACGTGGCTCGTGGCTTCAGTCAGCGGCAGGGAGTTGACTACTTTCAGACCTTCTCTCCCACCCCGAAGATGACCACTCTTCGGGTACTGCTGCACATAGCTGCTCACCGCGACTACGAGCTGCACTCTCTTGACTTCAGCACTGCTTTCTTGCAGGGCAGCCTGCACGAGGAGATCTGGCTGCGTCGCCCACCTGGCTTCACTGGGTCTTTTCCTCCTGGCACCCAGTGGAGCCTCCGGCGGCCAGTCTACGGTCTCCGCCAGGCACCGCGTGAGTGGCACGACACACTGAGGACTACACTTCCGGCTCTTGGGTTTGCTCCCTCTACTGCCGACCCGTCGCTGTTTCTGCGCACCGACACTTCTTTGCAGCCGTTCTACATCCTCGTGTACGTCGACGACTTGGTCTTTGCCACAGCTGACACTGCTGGACTCGCCCACGTGAAGTCCGAGCTGCAGAAGAGACACACGTGCACAGACCTGGGTGAACTGCGCAGCTACCTTGACTTGCAGATCACCCGGGACAGAGCACGCCGCACCATTACCCTGACTCAGTCACACATGGTGCAGCAGGTCCTTCAGCGCTTCGGCTTCACGTACTCCTCGCCTCAGGCCACTCCTCTGCCTACTCGCCACTCGCTCTCAGCTCTGCCTTCGGATGAGTCCGTAGAGTCGAGTGGCCCGTACCCAGAGCTTGTTGGCTGCCTCATGTACCTGATGACCTGCACACGACCTGACCTTGCATACTCTCTTAGCATTCTTGCACGCTATGTTGCTCCTGGGAGACACAGACCGGAGCACATGGCTGCAGCGAAGAGGGTGTTGCGCTACTTGTGCAGTACGTCGGGCATGGGGCTTGTGCTTGGAGGGCAGAGTCCAGTGGTCCTCACTGGACACGCAGACGCTTCTTGGGCTGACGACCAGGCTACGCAGCGGTCGTCACAGGGTTACACCTTCAGCCTTGGTTCCGGCTCTGTTTCGTGGCGGGCTACTCGCTCGTCTTCTGTTCTCGACTCCAGTTGTGAGGCTGAGATCTACGCCGGGGCCATGGCTGCACAGGAGCTTCGCTGGCTCACCTACCTGCTGACTGACCTCGGAGAGCCGCCTCGTTCTCCTCCAGTGCTCTACGTAGACAACAAGGCCATGCTGGCCTTGTGTCGAGAGCAGAGACTGGAGCACAGAACGAAGCACATTGCTCTTCGCTACTTCCTTGCTCGTGAGCTACAGCAGCGTGGTCAGCTGCGACTTGCGTACGTGGCCTCTGAGGCCAACACTGCTGATATCTTCACCAAGGCACTTGCGCCTTGTGATCATCAGCGCTTCTGTACTCAGCTGGGTCTTGTACCTACCTTGCCTCACTTGCTCACCTCTTGACCTTGTTTGTACTGTTGCATATATATATACTCCTGCTCTTGCTTGTCTAGCCTTATATATATATGTAATCCTGCATGTGAACTGGCCTTGTGGCCTTGAACTTGTGCTCGGAATGTGTGGTGACTTTGTGATCCACCCTGAGCTTGCTTTGCTTTGCTTGACTGGTCTTGTGACCCCTTGTTCTCCCCCACTTTGCCTATGGGGGTGTGTCAGAGTTACATGACATAGCTACTGTAGGCTATAGTGGGGTAGCACATATGGGGTACAGTTGCCTAGGGTTTGCCTTTTGTACCCAACTTTCACTTAGTCATTTCATTCCTGTTTTCTTGATTCACAATTTCATGTAACAACATCATGAGACCACAGGGCTAAAATTGACACTATTCTAAAATTACAGGGCAAATTTAAAACTGCATCCTGATTTTAGTGTAATCATGATGTTTTGCCCTGATAACGTGGGGCCTGGGCTCGGTCATCTTGCAGTGTAACACGGTCTAGCCGTAGAGACCAGCGAGTGATAACGTGGGAAAGGAGTGTTGGAATTAAGGTTAATTCGGGTTGCTCCAATAAACATATGTTGTGATACATCTACTTTATAGTAGTGTAGAATACATTGGTTGGGTTGGGAGAACTTGTGGTGTACACTCTATAGAGTGCACCACCTCCCAAACCCTATAGGTTAGGGTTCTCTCTTGTTGGAACTTCACTTCTTGGAAACCACTTTGGTTCTAGCATGGTTCATGCCCAAGTGGGCTCCTAAGATTTCTAGGCTTTATGAGGAAGTTCTAAGACTACTAAAGCTTCCGCTAGTAGCTTAGTCCATTCTAACATGGTATCAGAGCTAGGAAGGCCTAGCAATATGTTGGAATATGAGCTACTCAAGAAATTTGATCATAACACCTTGGTGGAAGCTAAATAGCTTCCATCCCTCCCGAAGGGCTGCCGAAATTGCACCGTGGCGGACTCTGGACGTGGGAGGGGAGGAGGAGAGAAGAAAACTGCTGGAAATCGTGTGGATCCGTTCGGGAGGACGAGAAGAGCGAAATCCATTTACGGAGGCGCTCAGTCAACTTTGGCCGATCAAGACGTGCAGCATACCGATGGAAAGGCCTCAGCACGATCTACAACAATTGCCTCGGGGTCGTTGCCAATCGACGAGCGGATCGGCCGCAATTCGCGAAATACAGTCGGCGGACGAATTGGCAAATCGCGAATCGGGGAAGATTTAAAGCGCGGAAAATAGATTGGAGGGCAGACGCCGACAGAGGAGGCCAGGGCGCATCCAACAAGCCAAAAATCGGGAGAAACGGTCGAGACTTCGTCGACGGGAAATCGTCCAACTTCGACGAGTTTAAGCGGCCAGCTCGGACGCGGGATCCAGGAGCGCGATACATCATCGGAACGGTCTCGAAGCAAGGATTCATCTGAGCCAAACGGCTCATCATTCGGACGTTCGAGCACGGAGTTTAGGGTTTAGGGTGTGAATCTGCCTGCATCATCTTCACCGCCACCGCCGTTGCCTCCACCACCACCTCAACGTCAATCTTCAGTGCTCCTGCCGCAAATGGATCATGACTCAGGCGAAGGGAAGCTGGAGAGTGCGCCAATGTTCGACGGGAGCGACTATTGGACTTGGAGCTTCCGATTCGAGCAATGGGCAGAGACACACGATGTATGGGGGTACTTTGATGGTTCGGAGGAGCGGCCTGCATCGGGTGACGCACGGCTAAAGTGGGAGAGGAGAAATCAGAAGGCATTTGCCCAATTCTGCAATGCCTTGGTGCCAGATGAGTTGATTCGCTTGGTACAGGAGTTCGGCGGCAAGACCGAGTTGGGAAACGCACCTGTTGATGGCGGAGCAAGAGCGGTCACCCGAGTTTCTGCAGGCACAGCAGCGGCATACATACGAGTGAAGGAGTTCTACCTTCAGCGTGGATTGTGTAACCGGATGGCACTCTCTAATGAACTCTCTTCCTTGAAGATGAAAGAAGGGGAGGGAGTGGCTGCATACTGGGTGCGTGCCGAGGACTTGAGGTCCAAGTACTTGGCTGCAGGAGGGAAGGAGGAGGTTGAGGAGTGGATGATGAGGGTACTCAAATGACTACCTCCTCACTTTGAGATGCTGAAGATAGTGCTGAACAACCAATCACCATCGCCTATTAAGGATCAGCTGCTTACCTTCTTGAGGAGCGAGGAGATGCGGATTGGTGTCGCACCAAGATCGGATGGTGTAGCCACTTTTGGAGCGGGTACGAAAGTGGGCAGCAGCGGCAGGGGAAATTGGGACAAGAGAGGAAAGCATGGAGGCAGCGGTAGCAGCAGTGACACCAACTCGGGCAGATGGGGTCAAGGAAAAGGCAAAGCGGGAGTGCTTGATTTCCCCTGGGGGTCCAAGGGCATGGCTCCTCGGGGGTTGTGTCATGGCTGTTGGGATGAGGGACATGCATGGCAGCGATGTCCTCATCGACCTAAGGGAGGCATTCCGGCATTCTTAAAGCGGGGGGGTCGTGGATCCAACGGCAAGGCACAAGTGGCGGATGAGGAGGAGCAGGATGACAAGGCAGAGGCAGTGGTTGGAGAGGTAGTTGCAGCAGTGGGAGAGGAGCAGCCGCGAGAGGGGTGGTGGATTGACAGTGGGGCCAGCCACAACTTTACTCCTTATGCATCGGACTTCAAAAGTAAGCTTCAGCCACCAGAGGTTCGGGGAGTTAGATTGGGAGATGGACGGGTGGTGAAAGCTGTTGGCATGGGTGAGGTGCCAGTGGTTGGTGCTGGAGGTCAGCTGCTGAGGATTCAAAAGGTCCACCTTGTGCCTGAGATGCGCACGCGTCTGCTGTCAGTCCCACACCTCACCTCTCGAGATGTCATTGTCACATTGAAGGGCAAGAAATGTGTTCTTAAATGGGGGGAGAGGGTGTTGGCGATTGGAGAAAAGGAGGGGGGCATGGACCATGGATTGGTGCGGATGTCTCTTCCTCTTGCTCGGGGCACACAAGGCAGTGCTCTTGCAGCTAGGTCCTCCTCCTAATTTTCCCCATTGACCCTTGCTCATCGCCGCCTTGGTCACACCGCCCCCACAACATTGCAACAAATGGCTCGGGGGAACAGTGTACTGGGCTTGGAGATCGGGGGGGGGGAGCACTGATTGCTCCCCATGTGAGCCTTGCTTATTGGGAAAGTCGGCTTGGAAGTCGTTTCCCCACGAGGCGTCTCGGACACTTGGGCCTTTGGATGAGGTCCACATGGATTTGTGGGGACCAGTGCGCACACCGTCACTGGGAGGAGCGGTGTATGTCATCAGTCTCATTGACGACTTCACCAGACGAGTTTGGTCATTCCCACTCCCCAACAAGGAATCGGCCACAGTCGCAAAAGTCATTTGCCAGTGGCATAAGGACGTGGAGTTGGAGTGTGGGCGGAAGCTGAAGGCTGTTCGCTCCGACAGGGGTGGCGAGTTCTTGGGGGACGCTGTGAAAGCATGGAAAGCGGAGTTTGGCATCAAAACCCAATTGAGTGTCGCAGATACAGCACAGCAGAATGGGGTCGTGGAGAGGTGGCACAGGACGATGGCAGAGGGGATTCGCACATTGTTGGTCGACAGTGGTCTCCCTGCTCGCTTGTGAGGTGAAGCATTGATGTGGGTCGTGTGGGTTAAGAACAGGGTCACCCACAGTGCTTTGTCTGCCTCCATCACACCAATGGAGGCGTGGTCCGGCCAGAAGCCGCATGTGGGCATGGCTCGGATTTGGGGTTGCATGGGGAGTGCCATGCTGCATGGGCATGAGAAGGGTGGCAAGCTTGATGCACAGGCTGTCATGTGTGTCTGTGTTGGGGTGGACATGGAGAGCAAGGGTTGGCGCATGCTGGACCCTTCTCTCATGCGCATTCGCATTGCTCGGGATGTTGTTTTTCTTGAGAATGTGATGTGGAAAGTTTGGGACAAGGCAAAGGGATTTGGGGAGCTTCTGCAGGATGTAGCTGCGATTTCCCAACTCCTCCCTCTTCCACTCTCGCCACCCTCAGCAACGGCTGACGACGTTGAGATGCCACCTTCATCACTGCCACCGGCACCGCTGAGTGTGTCGGTGCAGCAGCAGCCCACCCCTCTACAGCAGCTCAGTGGCCCCTCGGTCATTCAGCGGAGATCCGCTACACAGGCTACTTCCTCTTCCTCCTCCTCTGGTCAGCGCTCTGTCCCACTCTCTACGGGTGCCCCTCCGTCACCAGCGACTACCTCCCCACCACCGGTTACGGGTTTGCATGTGCTTGGTATCCAGTCTGGTACAGGTGGTGGAGGTAGGGGGGGATGCTGGTGTGGTTGAGGGCATGCTGTGTTTGGCCAGGGAGGTGGAAGGTGTTGCACTGGCAGGTGTGAGCACCGGTGATGTCCCACGCACACTCGCTGAGGCCCTGCGTGGCCCTGAGGGCCCTGCGTGGAAGGCAGGCGCTGAGAAGGAGATAAATGCAATGCGCACTATGGGTGTATGGGATCCAGAGCCGGTCGACTTACCTCCAGGTAAGAAGGCCATTGGGGTCAGGTACGTTTTCCGCAGGAAAACTGACAAGGAGGATAAGGTGGTACATCACAAGGTTCGCCTTGTTGCTAAGGGGTACACTCAGGAGCCCGAAAAGGACTATGATCAGGTATTTGCCCCTGTGGGCAAGCTCACCTCAGGTCGGGTGCTTCTTGCAGAAGCCGCGGTAAAAGGGTGGCATGTACAACAGGAGGATGTTGATCATGCTTACCTCAATGCAGTCCTTCAAGAGGAGGTGCATGTGAGGCAACCTGAGGGATTTGATGATGGTACAGGTAGGGTGTATCGCTTGCGCAAAGCTCTCTATGGGCTCAAGCAAGCGCCTCGTGCTTGGAATGAGGAGATTGGTACCACCCTGATTGCAGCAGGGTTTGACCGCAGTGCGATGAGGCTCTGTACATCAGGTTTGTGGATGAAGAGCCAGTATATGTATTGGTGTATGTGGATGACCTCTTGCTTGTGTCTCCACGCTTGGAGCTGATCGGTCAGGTCAAGGAGGTGCTTGCTCAGAGGTACCAGATGAAGGATCTAGGTGAGGTATCCACGTACCTTGGTGTGGAGGTTCGCAGGTCGGTCAAGGATGGGTGGTTGGAGATTGGCCAGGAGAAGTATGTCCGTGGTCTCCAGGGAAGGTTTGGTGATCTGCTTAAGGAGACCCATAGGGTGCATACTCCAATGTCACTCAATGATCTCTTTAAGATCAGGAATAGTACTTGGTCGACTGAGGAAGGTGTTGCAGCTGATGTCAAGGTGTACCAGAGTCTCATTGGCAGCTTGATGTATGCTGCTGTGACCACCCGTCCTGACATATCTTTCACTCTCAACACCCTTGCACAGTCCTGCGTGGCACCAAGACGCATTCACATGCGCGGTGCACTGAGAGCACTCAGGTACTTGGTCGACACAGCTGGTCGTGTCATCAGGTATGAGCGCCAAGGTGGTGAGCAGGTTGTTCGGTACACAGACTCGGATTGGGGTGGTGAGACTGATGGCAAGAGTCGCTCTGCCTACATCTTTAAGCTGGGAGGAGGAGCAATCAGCTGGTATAGCAAAAAGCAAGAGCGGCAACTGAGTACAAAGCTCTATCAGAGGGGGCCAAGGAGGCCATTTGGTTGAGGAGTTTGTTGGCAGAGATGCATGTGGGGGATAGGGGGGCTATTCCATTGCTCTGTGATAATGAGGCTGCTGTCTCCCTTGCCCACAATCCCGTTCTCTATCAGCGCACCAAGCACATTAAGGTGGCATGACACTTTGTACGGGATGCGGTGCGCCAGCAGGAGGTCGAGGTGCACTCAGTACGCTCCCACCTCCAGGATGCCGACATGCTCACCAAAGCTCTTCCAAGCTTGCAGCTGCATGAGAACTTGGAGCGCATCGGCATGCGAATGATGGCTGCGAAGGCCAAGGCTTCATTCACTGGAGGGGTTGTGTTTTGATTTATGGGTGAACTTTAATGCTTATTGGAGCAAGGGGGTGTGTTGGAATTAAGGTTAATTCGGGTTGCTCCAATAAACATATGTAGTGATACATCTACACTATATTAAACATTGGTTGGGTTGGGATAACTTGTGGTGTACACTCTATAGAGTGGACCACCTCCCAAACCCTATAGGTTAGAGTTCTCTCTTGTTGGAACTTCACTTCTTGGAAACCACTTTGGTTCTAGCATGGTTCATGCCCAAGTGGGCTCCTAAGATTTCTAGGCTTTATGAGGAAGTTCTAAGACTACTAAAGCTTCCGCTAGTAGCTTGGTCCATTCTAACAAGGAGATGTGCTACTACTGTGAGGAAACCTTCGAACAAAAATTTCACGAGGACGATGAGATGGGACTTGTCCATGACGGGAGGCAAAATGGGTAGCTGATTACCTTGGAATTCGGTGCTTTGTATGGAATGAGATTATTAGGTCTATAGTATTTAATTGATGGCTAGTGATACTGTATTACGGTGAGATTATTCTCATTCTGTATATTCTATCCGCTGTATAACGAAATAAATTGTGTGTTCCAAGTTATAAGTTGTGAACTCAGCTATATATATATATATATGCGTTCCAATTCATTCATAAATTTAATAGAACTAATGTGTTACGTCGATCCGAACGTAACCAGGTATCTTTGCGCCCAAACCGGTCGCGTATACAGGACAAAAATCAGGACCCCGAAATAAAGTCCCTAAATCTGTACAGTGTTTCAGGGCAGGTCAACGAAATGATGACAGGGTTCATCTGTGATAGCTAAGTTTCGAGTGTGACTACCCGTGATATATGTTAGTGCCTTTGAGTGACGGCGGGTGATACCCGTGTGAATCAAGAAAACAGGAATGGAATGACTAAGTGAAAGTTGGGTACAAAAGGCAAACCCTAGGCAACTGTACCCCATATGTGCTACCCCACTATAGCCTACAGTAGCTATGTCATATAACTCTGACACACCCCCATAGGCAAAGTGGGGGAGAACAAGGGGTCACAAGACCAGTCAAGCAAAGCAAAGCAAGCTCAGGGTGGATCACAAAGTCACCACACATTCCGAGCACAAGTTCAAGGCCACAAGGCCAGTTCACATGCAGGATTACATATATATATAAGGCTAGACAAGCAAGAGCAGGAGTATATATATATGCAACAGTACAAACAAGGTCAAGAGGTGAGCAAGTGAGGCAAGGTAGGTACAAGACCCAGCTGAGTACAGAAGCGCTGATGATCACAAGGCGCAAGTGCCTTGGTGAAGATATCAGCAGTGTTGGCCTCAGAGGCCACGTACGCAAGTCGCAGCTGACCACGCTGCTGTAGCTCACGAGCAAGGAAGTAGCGAAGAGCAATGTGCTTCGTTCTGTGCTCCAGTCTCTGCTCTCGACACAAGGCCAGCATGGCCTTGTTGTCTACGTAGAGCACTGGAGGAGAACGAGGCGGCTCTCCGAGGTCAGTCAGCAGGTAGGTGAGCCAGCGAAGCTCCTGTGCAGCCATGGCCCCGGCGTAGATCTCAGCCTCACAACTGGAGCCGAGAACAGAAGACGAGCGAGTAGCCCGCCACGAAACAGAGCCGGAACCAAGGCTGAAGGTGTAACCCTGTGACGACCGCTGCGTAGCCTGGTCGTCAGCCCAAGAAGCGTCTGCGTGTCCAGTGAGGACCACTGGACTCTGCCCTCCAAGCACAAGCCCCATGCCCGACGTACTGCACAAGTAGCGCAACACCCTCTTCGCTGCAGCCATGTGCTCCGGTCTGTGTCTCCCAGGAGCAACATAGCGTGCAAGAATGCTAAGAGAGTATGCAAGGTCAGGTCGTGTGCAGGTCATCAGGTACATGAGGCAGCCAACAAGCTCTGGGTACGGGCCACTCGACTCTACGGACTCATCCGAAGGCAGATCTGAGAGCGAGTGGCGAGTAGGCAGAGGAGTGGCCTGAGGCGAGGAGTACGTGAAGCCGAAGCGCTGACGGACCTGCTGCACCATGTGTGACTGAGTCAGGGTAATGGTGCGGCGTGCTCTGTCCCGGGTGATCTGCAAGCCAAGGTAGCTGCGCAGTTCACCCAGGTCTGTGCACGTGTGTCTCTTCTGCAGCTCGGACTTCACGTGGGCGAGTCCAGCAGTGTCAGCTGTGGCAAAGACCAAGTCGTCGACGTACACGAGGATGTAGAACGGCTGCAAAGAAGTGTCGGTGCGCAGAAACAGCGACGGGTCGGCAGTAGAGGGAGCAAACCCAAGAGCCGCAAGTGTAGTCCTCAGTGTGTCGTGCCACTCACGCGGTGCCTGGCGGAGACCGTAGACTGGCCGCCGGAGGCTCCACTGGGTGCCAGGAGGAAAAGACCCAGTGAAGCCAGGTGGGCGACGCAGCCAGATCTCCTCGTGCAGGCTGCCCTGCAAGAAAGCAGTGCTGAAGTCAAGAGAGTGCAGCTCGTAGTCGCGGTGAGCAGCTATGTGCAGCAGTACCCGAAGAGTGGTCATCTTCGGGGTGGGAGAGAAGGTCTGAAAGTAGTCAACTCCCTGCCGCTGACTGAAGCCACGAGCCACGTAACGCGCCTTGAAGACAGGCGGAGAACCCGGCGGCCGCTTCACCCTGAAAATCCACATGCCACTGACGATGTTCGCCCCAGGCGGGGGAACCTCGTCAACGTAGGTGCCTGTGGACTTCCAGGAAGCCATCTCTGCGTCCATAGCTGCCTGCCACTGAGAGGAGTAGGGACCCTCTATCGCCTCCGCGTAAGAGCGCGGAGTCGGGATGTCAAGTGCATCCGGGTCTCCCTCAGGGGTAAGCAGTACGGACACGAGATGAGGTGAAGTAGCAGCCAAACACTGGAACTCCTCCTGCCTGTCCTCAAGGACGTCCGTGCCAAGGGCACACTCACCCCCGACGGACGGAGGACAGACAGACTCAGACTCAGCAACAAGACTAGCAGCGTAGTCTAGACGACAGCGAGCAGCAAAGTCGACGAGCTCAGTAACTAGGGCAGACGCAGCAGTGGACTCAAAGGAAGGGTCAGTGACAACAGTAGCAAGGAGACGCGTGACAGTAGGACTGGCAGCACGAAGAGAGTCCGACTCCGGGTCAGGAAGAGCAGGAAGAGAGGACTCAGGAGGAGAAGGCAAAGGGGCACGCAGAGGAGCAGTGGACGGACGCAGAGACATCCGGTGCGTGCCAGGGACAGGAGGAGGACGCTGACGCGAACCACGAGCACTAGTGCGAGCAGCACGGACAGGCGACGCAGGGCGAGACGCAGGCTCACGACGCTCAGCAAAACCTCCAGTAGGACCGGTGTAGGGAGAAGGAGCGGGCAGTGGGGAGGCCGGCT